TTACTGGATTCTATGAGCACCCAAGGTACATGGAATTGTTACTGCTGTTTAATCGCGATCGATACTTGTTTGTGAAGTCCAATGCTTCTCAGATTCTAAGCGATGCCCTTCTTCTCACTGGGATTTTGGACACCTACATTCAGGAACTCATTGTGAGGATAAGCCTACAAGCTGTTGAAATATGGACAGACAGAGACAAAATTAAGACCGACCATAAGCATATAGCTCAGATTTCAGATGAGTTTGCGATGTACAGACTCAACCACCTTTATAAGCGGATCCAAAGTGATTGGGCACATTTGTTTATACAGAAAAAGCATTTTGATGGGTATGGAATGTCCCTCGGAGGGACATGTACTGTGTACGCAGGATCCACCGTTTCATATCCTGGCCTGAATATCCTGGGACCGGCCACCTGGACAGCTCATGAAATAGGCCACAGTTTTAGAATATTTCATGACAAAAAATACTGTCATTGTAATGGTAGATACAGCTGCATCATGGGCACTGGGCGTAGTGGGTTCAGTAACTGCAGTAAAGCCGATTTTTTTATAGCTTTAAGTGCAGGATTAACTTGTATGACTAATATCCCAATAATAAATTATATGCCGGATACCTGTGGAAACGGAATTGTGGAAGGGGATGAGGAATGTGACTGTGGCACAAAAGGAGACTGTGATATAGACAAGTGCTGCGAACCAGGTTGTAAGTTGAAGCCTGGTGCCAACTGCAGCATTGGTCTTTGCTGTCATGAGTGCCAATTTCGCCCATCTGGATATGTATGTAGGCAGCAAGAAAATGAATGTGACCTTGCAGAGTATTGCGATGGGACCTCACATTTATGCCCAAGGGATACTTATAAACAAGATGGAACCCCTTGCAAATACGAAGCCCACTGTTTTAGGAAGGGGTGTCGATCCAGGCTTATGCAGTGCCAAGGAATTTTTGGACCTGATGCTAAGGACGCTCCTATTCAGTGCTACCAAGCAGCGAATTCGGAGGGTGACCAATTTGGTAATTGTGAAATTGAGAAAGTTAGAATATACAAGAAGTGTGAGATCAAAAATGCATTATGTGGCCGAATACAATGTATAAATGTCAAATTGGTCCCTGATATGCCAGATCATAGTTTAATAATTATCACTCATCTGAAGAAGGAAAATCTTGTGTGTTGGGGCATAGGCTACCATCAAGCAATGAGACCCCTGGGGATCCCTGACCTGGGTGAGATAAATGATGGCACCAGCTGTGGCCAGAACCAGATATGTGCGAACAGAACCTGTGTGAGTGACTTGTTTGTGAAATACGACTGCTTGCCTGAGAAGTGCAACCGCCGAGGGGTCTGCAACAATAAAAGGAACTGCCACTGCATGTACGGCTGGGCCCCTCCGTTCTGTGAGGAAGAAGGCTATGGAGGGAGCATCGACAGTGGGCCTGCAGGACCACTGCTACTTCCAGAGGTAATGGCCTCGTCAACGCATGTTGTGACCATAATGTTCTTACGACTTGTTTTCTTACTCTTCTCGATGATTGCCGTGTTTTTCTTGCGAGAGAAACTCGAAAAGAAGGAACCCCCCCCCCCAGATAGCAGTAAAGACGGAGACCCCATAGAGACGTGACACCAACCCCGTCATCAGGATCATTTCTGGAACAAGCTTATCACATCCAAACGCTGTTTTTGTACGTCTATGATTCTTTTCCTTATCCTTTAATCTATATCATTTCGTGAAAGTTTTGATCAGCAAATAAATGATATCCTTGTTCTGGAAATAAGTCCATGCATTTTTTTTTATTTATGAAAAGGTCTCATTTGGCTCCTTAGTGCAGGATCAAATTATGGGTATCCTGAAAAAATGGCTCAAATTGCTCCTCTGGACTCCAAGATGCTGACTGTTTGGAATCTGGTGGAATTAAAACGGCTTTCCATATTGTTCCTTATCTCTAAAGCCCCAGAGAACAAATTTATGATCTGCCTTTCCCTCTGTCTCCCTCAGCTTGAGATCAGAGAACATCTGTGCCAGTTCAATTGCTAGAAGAATTAAATAGCTTTATCTTAGTTCAGCCATAAGCCTAATGCCACAAGTGGGTAGTTTTAAAGAACAAGACTTGAATGTCAATGGTTTGGGGGTCTAGAGTCCCAATCAGGCCATTGGACCTACAGGGTGGGTGTGGGTAGGGGGACAGTGCTTGACCTTTGGTAGCTGTGGGCATTCCTTGCTCTCCCTTGGTTGGTTGGGGGATTTTCTCATGGCTTCTGCTGGTTTGATCTGTCTTTGTAGCCTTTTTACGTTTTGTTGTTGTTGTATTTGTGTTTAGGTGACTTTAAGTTGGGTCTGACAACAACAGGATGTACAATAATGAAACAAGACCCTAGTCATACATGGTCCTCACAATTGCTTGGGCCCATGACTGTAGCCACTGTATCAAGGATCTTCATCTTTTTGCTGCCCTTCTATTTTACCAAGCATGATGCCTTTTTCCAGGGACTGATTTCTCCTAGGGGGAGAAAGATGGGCCTTTCTACCCTTCTAAAATGTTAGTCTAGATTTTCAAAGTCACTAGCAGTATGTACCTGGGGGGCTGCCCAAACCTCTCTCCACACCTCTGATCTCTTGAAATCAGCCCCCTTCCCTGCTGTCAAGCATCCCTACAAGAAGGAGCTGTGTACTGCTGCCTGAGGACCCCAGGATGGCCGAGGGAGACCAGACAGGTACATGGCAGCTGTGCTTAGTGTCCAGCACTAAGGAGACTCCTGTTTATATTATTTCCAACTGCCTGCTAGACCTCACCACCTTCATGGCTCATTGGAATTTTTCAAATAGACACTCTGTGCAGTTTCTGGTTGCCCAGCATTCATAGGAATGAAGACATACACAGAGATAGTGTTTCTAAGAAAATTCAAAAGTGTAGATAGATGTCTTGATTGAAGAGTATTCAACATTCATTATTCATTTATTTTTATTTATTTCTGTACTACCGCAAGTGAAAGTCATGATTACACTAATGGAGATAACCTGTTTAGCAGGCCCACAGTCATCTTGTCACATCTTAAAACTGTGGTGGGATATCTTCTGCTATTACGTCACCCTGGCCATGCTGCTAATGGCCTTCCTGACCAGAGCACTGCAGCTCACGCAGAGCAGGCGTTGTGCTGTCTTCCATGGAAGGTGGAATTGGACCATCACTGCACAGCGCCTTGGGACGTCCTGTAACTCAGCATGAACGTGACATCTGACAGAGGGCCCTGTGTCCAATCCGGAGCAGGATCCAGAATGACCTCCATCAGTTACGGTCTTCCTACATTTTTGGAATCTGTCAAGAGGAACAGCTCTAGCTGCAAGGGTTTGCCAAGTTCTTCCCCCACCTGGTGCTCTGGCACATGTTCATATTTGTGGCCTGTAGCAGTTTGGCTTCACTACCCCAGTGCCAGCCTCGGCATGAGCATTTTGTGGCCATTCTTCACAAGAGCTCTGATTCTCCATTCCGCGTGCATGTGTGGCAGAAGGATATCATGTATAGAGTATATCTGAAGCAGATAAGAGTCCATGTCTCTTTTTTGGGCCATCATAATAACCGATTTATCCTATTTTTATGTTTTATCCTGTATTACCATTGAAATGGACTTGTGCTAGTTAGGTTTATTGTGCTACCTAGGCCAATAGGAACATGTGGGCAGAGTTTAACCAGATTGAAGCTTGAGTGGATGACGACTGAAATAAAGAAAGACATCTGGCATTCCCTCTCTCTCTTGCTCCCTGGTGATCAGACCAGCATGCTCCTGCTTTGGCTAGTTCTTTGACTCAACCTGTGTGCTACACTACCTGTGGGCCAAGCCAACCCATGGATGTGTCGCTAGAGCTTGAGGCTCCTTCGATACCTACTTCGACATGCTGCTTGTGTGTACACTGCTTGAGATTGAGGCTGGTGGATCCTGTTGCCCTCCTTGGATTTGAGATCCCATCGGGGCCTACTTTGCTAAAGCACCCAAGCATGACCCACCCTGCTATCTGTCTTCCTTGCCTGAGGGAAAATTCCCCTTTGTGCTTCCTTGACCAGGGACATGACAGCCCATGGACTTGAAGAATTTCCAGTATTAACTGTTGTACGAAACTGAGCCCTCTGCACAGTCATGTGGACGATTTAGCTGTTATATTCCTTCTCGCTGTACAAACCTATCCTCTTATGTATCATAAGCATCCTGGGTTTGTTTCCCTAGAAAACCCTGCCTAACACACAACTGTACCATTGATGTGTGGGCTTTCATAGGATAGAAATGCTACCAGTGTGTCTACACCTTGGCAGAAATATTTCAAGTCCTAGCTTCATCTGATGTCATTTTGGTTATACTGTATGATCTCACCTCCTCCTACTACTTGTGGTGAATGCTGAGGAGCTCTCTGAAGCAAGGTTTCTTTGAGGCCTTAAGAGAAAAAAAGCAACTACTGTGATGATCTTGAAGCCAAGGATGGCTTTGCCTTCAGCTTCCTTCGAATCATCAGTAAGGTCCTGTCCAGTGCTAGTGCATCTCCATATTCCTGTGAGGGGTCAGTGAGAACAAACAGATCCACCTCAAGGGACAGTGGAGAAAGTCAAAAGTCAGCTTGTGGAAAATTCATAGGACAAGGGGGAACTGTATCTCTTCATGCTCAGTGGTCTTCCAGATGATCTCTTTGAGCTCGCTTACATTGAAGTGCTAAGCCTGGAGCTCATCCCTGAGGTCAAGATGCTCTCTATAGCCTCTCAGCTGTCAACCTCAAAAGAGATGTACCGGTCCCATTCCTCTCTGGTGGTAGACAATGCTACATGGTCTCTCTGGAGGAGAATGAAAACTCCCTGTCCCTGAAATTGACTCAACTGCAGAAGATCCCACGCTGGATGTTTCACCTGAAGAATCTGAAGTAATTGTATCTGTCAGGTGATGTCCTGCCCGAGCACTTGCGCATCAAGCACATGGAGGACTTTCAGGATGTAAAAACCTGGCATCTCCCCAGTGCAGCCTCTCCTGGGACCCACAAGTCGGGACAGACCTCCTGCCTTCAGTGCAGGAGTTGTCCCTCGATAGTGAGGGAAGCAAAGTGGTTGAGTGGCACCAGGTTGGAAAGATGGTTAATCTGAAAAGCCAAGAGCTGATCAGCTGTGACCTGGAACTCATTCTTCACTCCATCTTCAGGTTGAACAATGTGCATGAGGTAGAGCTAAAAGAAAATAACCTGACCGTGTGGAGATGATCATTAACGTTTGGCATCTTCAAAATCTTTCCCATGTGGATTTGTGGCACAATAACCTTGCTTATAATCCTGCCCAAATGGTGGCATTATCTAACCCAGACAAGCCCTCTCTGAACTATAATAATATTGAGAACCTGACCCTGCAGTTTTTTTCTATGTACCAAAATAGTAAATACCGTTTGTCAATTTCAGATTCCCCTGCACGTGTACCCTGCCCTATTGCAGTTAGCTTTTGTATTCCCTATGCCAAGGTTCTTAGGTTTGTCCCGATTCCTTTGCTAATGGTCCTGATGGTTTGGGGTTTTACTTCTAGGTCCGTGACCCACCTTGAGTTTGTTCTTGTGCACGGGGTGAGGTAAACATCTTGTTTAATTTTTCTACATGTGGATTTCCATTGTTTCCAGCACCACTTCTTAAATAGGGTGTCACCACGCTCCCACTTGATGCTTTTGGGGCCCTTGTTGAAGATCAGTTGTCTATATGCTTATGGTTTTATTTCTGGGTTTTCTATTCTTGGTCTATTCCATTGGTCTGTGTATCTGTCATTATGTCAGTGTCATGCTGTTTTGACCGCTGTGGCTTTGTAGTAGGTGTGAAAGTCAGGTAAAGCGAGCCCTCCAACTGCATTTTTCTTCTTGAGGAGATCACTGATAATTCTGGGCTTCTTCCCTCTCCATATGAAATTGGTGGTCAGTTTTTCCAATTCTTTGAAATAGGTTGTTAGCATTTGAGTCAGGAGAGCATTAAACTTATAAAATGCCCTGGGTAGGATAGACATCTTTACTATATTGAGTCTTCTGATCCATGAGCACGGGATATTCCTCCATTTGTGGAGGTTGCTTTTGATTTCTTGTAGTAGGGTCATGTAGTTTTCCTTGTATAGATCTTTTGTTGCTGCTGTTGTTAGATATATCCCTAGATATTTCAGTTTGTTCTTGGTTATTGTAAATGGTACTGCCTTCTTGATCTTCTCTTCCATGGTCTTGTCCGATGTGTACAGCAAACCAATCAACTTCTGTTTGTTAATCTTGTATCCTGCCACTCTTCGATATTCCTCTATCACTGTCAGTACTCCGGTTGTGGAGCTTTGGGGATTTTCAATGTACAGAATCTTGTCATCTGCAAATAACAATAATTTCACCTCTTCCTCTTCCAGTTGGATACCCTTGATGTCCTTCTGTTGTCTTATGTTATTAGCTATGACCTCCAGTATGATATTGAATAGAAGTGGGGACAAGAGACATCCTTGTCTAGTTCCCCCTTTTCAGTGGGATTGATTTTATCTTTCCTCCCTTGACTATGATGTAATCTGTCAGCTTTTCGTAGATAGCTTGTATTAACTTGAGGAACTGCCCTTCCATTCCTATCTTCCTGAGTGTTTTAATCAGGAA